CGATGCCAGAAGGGTGTCAGGCTTCTGTTAGAGGGCTTTAGGGTGTTGGTGTTAACTTGGTTGTCCAGGGATATCCTTTATTTTTTATGGACAGCCTTAAGCTTCAGAGAAGCAAAGCCCTTATTTCCAGGGCCGGGCTGCTGCCCTCCATCCCTTGGTGCTGACCCCGCCGGTGAATTCCCTGCCTGCTGCCTCCAAGATGGTTCCTTAGCACTGGGGCTTTCCTGGGAAGCTTGGCAGGGCCATGCTGCAGCAGGGTTCAGGGCCTGATTTTCAGGCATGCCTCCTCCTTGAGTTGTGCAGACGTTTGCAGTGCAGGGGGTAGATAGGAAATCTCCAATGCCCAATTTGAGATTTTCATGGGCTCTGGCAAGTAGCAGCTGAGGAGAAGGTATTGATGTGCATCAGGGCAACCATGAAAGCTGTGTGCCTCTTGACTGAGGGCAAAGACTTTGACTTTGTATTCAAGAACGTCGGCATCCTGGTGTGCTGAGGAGGGAGAGTTGTCTTGAGATTCTTCGAAGACCTGCTCCAAGATGGCAATAGGAGAGGGATTGTGGCTAATGCTTTCCTCCCTGTATGTTTGGCACATTTTCAGTGCTCCCTGTAACTCCTTTGGAGCCGGGCCAAAGCCATGGCCTTAGGCAGGTTTTCCTCAGTACTTGTGGCTGGGCCTGCCCCCCTGCTTCCAGAAAGCTACGCCTCAGTGACGAGCTTGTCACGGGTATCTGGAAAGGCACACGGGTGGGTCCAGAGTCACCAGAAAAGGATATCCAGGGGTCTGGAATGCTCTGAAACACCCATCCAGTGGGAGCGGAACACGCTGAAATGCACATCAAGCTGTTTGGGGTACACCAAGAGGTGTCTGGGCTAGCCAAAGGCACAGCGAGTGGTCTGAGGATGCACTAAAATGCACAATGTGAACCTCGGACAATGCTGACGTGGACACTGTGGGGTGAGGCGAAGGGGAGGGGGGTGCCAGTGCACGTGGGTGGGCCCCGCGGCATGCTGGGAGCTGTAGTCCACTGCCAAGCCTGGACTTGGGAGGCTTTTACCCAACTGTTAAATTTCTGTGGCCAGCCACATCACTTCACCAGCAAGCTGTTTCTTTCTTCCTTTTCCTGTTGCAGCAATGATCTCACTGTTGTAGGTCTGTCCTTGTCAAGGTTCGCTTTTTGAAGTTCTTCAGGTTAAAACAGCCTTTTTGGAATTGTGGTTGAAGCCAAGCAGGTTTATTCAAAACCTCAACTGACTTGTGCTGAGATCCTCTTCATGTCGTCAAAGATCCTCTGTTCCCTCCCTTGGGGGAGGAGAACAACCCTCTTCCCATTGCGGACTGCTCTTATCCCCACCATGGCCCTCTGTGCCAGCCCAGATCTCCTCCATCCCCCTCCAGGCACGCTCAGATGCCCTCCAGGCTGATTCATTATTTTTGAGGACATCTCCCCTTCCTCCTCCAAGCACTCAGATTTCCCTGGCTCTCCTCCCTGCAAGCTGTGATTCCTGTTCATCCCATGTCCTCCTCCATGTGCGCAGATCCCTTCTCTTCCCCGCAGCTCACCCACTGATCCTTTCTGCTTCCCTCTCCGCACCCCTTTGCTGCATGATGTTCCACCCAAGCATCCTCATAGACCCTCCATCACACTTCACATTCAAGATCTACTCTCTTTCCTTCTCTGGATGTTCAGATCCCCTCCTTTCTCCTACTCCTATTCCATTTCCCCCTCCATACCCCTTTATCTGCCTTCTCGTCCCTCTACGCATCATCCTTGCTCTCAGAACCCCTCCTTTCGCCCCATCTTCCTTCTCTACGCGTTCTCATCCCCTCCCTCAGTGCTCGGATACCCTCGTTGCCCTCCGCAGGCTTGCACAAAGCAAAATGGAAGAGGTAAGATCATGCAAAAAGGGGAATGACCAGCGCCCGAGCACAGATCGAGAGGAATGGGGAAAAGAGGGCACATGGTGGAAAGTAACTTCTCCAAGTTTTATTTACAAAGCTTGTAGTTTTGGACTGGACAAGGAATTAGGGTTCAGAGGAAGATACGCTTCACCCCACCCCTCTTCAATTTACTGAGTTTATCTACAAATTCCAGCCTCCAGGTGGATCTGGGATGATACACACATACGTTTACAGTTGGGTAAGTTGAAAAAAAGCTGTTGAATAATTTAGTTGAAACATATCACCGAAATCACCAAGTCACTTTGGCAATTCTCTCCCTGCAGTCCTTGTCATCGCATGGCGACAGGAGCCCAAAACCTTGCAGTCCAGCTAATATTTTACAAACATCTTTCCCCGTTTAGAAGTTCTCAGAGCTGATGCTCTGACTCTCCTCCTGCAGCTGGGAGGCTGTGGTGTCTCCAGGCGAAGCGACATTTAAGTACCCGATCTCAGAAGGTTGAGAGGGGGATAAGCAAAAGGATGAGTCTTGGCTTTCAGCTTCTCCTTCAGGCTTGGTGTCTTGCGTGGCCTTCAGGGTGCTGAGAGAGTCTGGTGGTTCTCGTGATGGGAAACTGAAAACAAATTTCCTCTCTTAAGTCATTCGTCAAACTCTGTCTGACCCTCTGCCACTTGCACAGCCCCGGCGCTCCTCCCAACATCTCTGCAAGGCAGTGCAGGGCTACGGTCAATGCCTTTCACTTGGACTAAGGCTCCGATCCCCTTCCTCCAGCCCAGCAGCCGACAGCCACCATCTACCCCAGAACCTGCTCTGGCTTGCGACAGACTGTCCGTCACCCTCCATAGCACCCAAAGGCTGTAAGCAGGCCCGATGTGCTGGGTCTCCAGCAAGCAGAGACCAGAGTTGCAGAGTCTCTCTGCCTCCCCCTTCTCACTTTGGCACCGATCATAGTGGCTACACAGGAGGAGAAATAGCTCAGGCTCGCTCCTGCCCCGTAGCCTGGGACCTGGGTCATACTGCTCCGGGGCAGCAGTGGTCCTCTAAGTCTCAAAACCTCTTGTGTGAAGACACTCTTCCAAAACCACTGGGCACCAAGCTGATTTCTAAATCCCCCAGTGTCCCCCAACATATTTTGAAAATTTTACTTCTCCATCCCATCAGTTTCAGAGTCTTTTTTTCCCCTATAATTTGACCCTTGGAGGTGAAAGCACAGGGTGGAGCAGCCAAAACACTCAACTTCTCCCTCACCACATGCCGAGAGGCATTCCCTGCCTCCTCCTTTAACCCCACGGTACCTGGTACGGGGAGATGGCAACACCTTACTCTGTAGCTGGCGTTCAGAGAAGTTAACGCTCTTCGAGTCCTGGAAGGAGGAACAGAGACTTTCAAAGGAGGAGCTGCATGTCAGACCCTGAATTTCAGCATGCAGTCTTGGTCTTCAAAGCGTCCCCAGCTCCACTGACAGTTCTCCCCATGAACTCCAGCCCCACAGAGGTACTAATCATAGATGTGTCCTTTGGGTCTGAATTTAAACTAAAAATAAAAAACTCTAACTAGCCCAGGTGAAACAAACAGAAAGAAATAAAACACAATGGAACACACAAACAGCTCTTTCTGCCAGGCCCCAAACAGCACTTTCATCCTTAACAGCTCATTTCCAACCAAACTGTGTTCCCTCCAAATTTCAAAATCTACCAATAAACTTCCAAATCCACCTATTTTATTTGAAGAGTTGTTGATACAGAATCTTTGACTTTCCTGGATTTTTCTCCATTTCTCCCTCCAAAGTTCTTCATTAACTTAGTCAATCTGAAACTGAGTTTTTAGGTAAGGCATATCTTCATTCAGTTTAATTTAGTTGATATTATCTGTCAGCTTGGTCTGAGTTTTTTTAGCTTACAGGAGTAGCATTCCCAACCACACTGCTCTGGGTTATTTCTCCTAATTTTAAAGCTAACTTTTAAAACTAAGGTCTTTTAACAACTCTAAATCTGCAAAAGAGCCAAAGTGAAATTTCTGTCCTTGTGAAAAAGGATCTCACCACACAGCAGCTTGGGGATGGCGCTGGTATGGCAAGTGTATGGAGCTTTCAGGTCCCCAAAGTCCCTCCTCACTGATAAAGCCGTTGCAATCTACTGTGCGTTTGGTGTTCCCTTCCATCCCAACTGAAGGATCAACTCAGCTCTTCTCCAGCACCCTCAACTGCAGCTACAAACACCAGCCTTTGTTCACAGGAGACATCAGCTCCTGCAACGTGTCTGCTGAGACCAAGCCCTCTCAGAGCCTCACCTCCGTGTTGGGAGCATGGATGCTCCTCGGCGCGCGCTGCGAGGTCGGCATGTGGCCGGAGAGCTGGAGTTTGCTCTCGTGCAGCCGCACATTCTCCTCCTCCAGGATCTTCACTCTGAGTACGTCACACATACGAGGCACAAGTTATTTTCCTTCCAGCCACACTACGTTTTCAAAGAGGAATTTTCTTTTTCAACCTCAGACCCTTTGGCCTCCTCCACAGCCTTCAGCTGTATGCCGAGCGCTTTGATGGGGAAAGAGGCTAATTACATCCCACAGCAATTAAAAGCCAGACCAGTAGTGACTGGGGCGCAGTTCAGGCTTTCCTCTGGATTTCTTGAGACAGGCATAAAACCGGAGAAGTGCTGGGAAGAGGCAGGCCCCCAGAGGTATGGACACCATGAAGTGCCTACCTGCTTTGCAGGGTGGCAGTCGTAGACCGGTTGCTCCAAGGGGTCTCCTCTTGGTCAATTATCTTCTGGAGGAGCCGTCTTCTTTCCTGGAGTAATTTCTCATTCTCGGCAGTGACCTGTGCAATCAGCATCTTCCCCTGAGCAGTGTTGCAGAAGGAAATAGCAACAAGCGGTTACGCATCGCTCTCCTCTGTCCTCTCTAAACCTTACAGCACTTTACCAAAAGGGTCACCACCAAGGATGTTCACTCCTAGAAGTGATACACCATTTGATGTAACATACCCCTATAAAAGTGGCTTTTGAGTCACTTCCTAGCAGTAGTATTTCTGAGGCAAAAGAAGATGAAGCTTAGGTAGTTTCTGAAGGGGATTTGAGGACACGGGTTACCCTTCGAGGGTGAACTTGAGCCAGGAATTTTCTTTTGGCTTTTTGTTCCTACAGGGATGGGCTGGCGCCCCTTGGCAATGCGGCCGTTTCCCAGGGCAGCGTCAGTCCTGCACCCAGAGCAGGAGCAGCACTCAGGCAGAGCTCCCCGTGCTCCAACTGTCCGGTTGTGCAACACTGCAATCCCGTTGCCTGCAAACCAGCTGTTCCTAGACATCATTCCCTTTTTTCCTAAACTGCATTTGCTTTTGGAAGAAGAGATGCTCCTGCAGATATGCTGTAGCCTCCTCCCCTGCCATCCCTCAGGGGAAAAGCCCTTGATGTGTTTTCTCACCTTTTCCACTTGGAGCTTTGACTCGCTGAGCTCATTTTCAAGCTGCTTAATTCTGCTGTCCCTTTGTTTCACTTCGTGGATAAAGGTCTCCTTGGCTCTGCGGATCTTGTCTTTGTGGCGGAGCTGCATGTCGTTGTATTTCCTGAAGAGGCAGAGACACAAACATCAGGCTGTGAAATGCTTTTGTGTTCTGGGTCAAGAGCAAGGCAGGAGATGTCCTGTATTTATTCAGGCTCTTCAAAGCCTGAACTGGGAGCCTCAGCCATCTCCCCAGCTCCTTTTGGCTGCACAGCTAAAGGCAGAATGAGCACAGACTTTCCGGACTATGTCCTTCACTGATCAGTTTGTTGGTTTGGGTTTTTTTATTGTTGTAAAGGTTATATTGTTAAGCATCAACCTAATGGAAACTGATTGAGGGAAAAGGACCCAAAGCATTCCCAAAACTGACTCCCAGCTTTACAAATCCTTGTGCTCGCCCCTCCCAGCTCTTTATACCTAACAGGGTTATAAAGTCACCAAAATCAGAAGTAATGGGGAAAGGGTAAGTTGTTTATTTGGGTGGGGATGTGGGAGGTTAAGGGGAAATATTTGTGTATGGGGGAAAAAGGCCGAAAAAAAAAGAAACTTAAACAGCAAGGGTCAGGCAAACAGGCTGCGGAAAGAGCTACTTCAGCAGGCGTTTCTCAGAGCTGTGACACTGGGGTTAAATATTTGTCTCTGAGATTTGTGATCATTGCACTTCCCCTCAAACTTGGCCCGTTTAGACAGTGTGTTTGTTTATTTTTATCCAGTTGGGATAGAAAGGAAAATAATGTCAAAAAAAAAAAAAGATAAACCTCTACCATATAAAGGATTTGCCCATGTTTGCCCAAAACTCATGACAAAAAGGCTACTATGCTTCACATTAGATCAAAAGTTCTATGGGGAGAAACGAGCAGCTCCATGGAGCACCTCTGCCAACACCAGACCCTGAACACAGCGCCGGCAGCCCTCCCTAGGCACCCCTTCATTTTCTGAGCTGCCTTCAGCTGCCAAGGAGAACATGCCAGCAGACATGCGATGCATAAAATAATTGCACGCAGAGGTGTCAGGTTAAGGCAGATCTCTCGGTGCTAAACGCCTTGAGCAGAAGACAAGAAAGGCTACAGAACAGTCAAATCCAGCATCGCTGCAAGGCACACAAAGAGCAATTCCTG